GGCTATGCAGGATCTATGGTGTGCTCTGCAGGGTCTCAGGTAAGTCAAGCACACTACTGCAACACGCCCCCCCCCGTCTTGGGAGGGGGGCCCAAGATAAAATCTTGCACCAGGGCCCTTTGCTTATTAGGTCCGCCACTGGTTTCACCTGTGTCTGTTAATAATCAGGTGTGACATATACAACTGCACAACACACACTGAGCTTGTTTACAGAGGCTTGTGAGCAAGGTGGATTGAATTAGGTGGAGTTGAAACTTACGAGTCTTCAACCTGTAAGTAACATTTTAAACTTCCTGTAAGTAATATAAATATTGCACTTGGTATAATGTGTATTAGCAAGTTGGAAGGGTTTGCTCAGTGTACAGTGTATAAAATGTATACACAAATATAGCAACAGCTCTAGGATGAATACCACTATGACAGGTGTGAGCAGGTTGCCTTCCTGGAAGCTCACACTAGAGAGCTTGAAGAGCAAATTGCAACACTGATGAGACTTGGCAACCTTGAGAGAAGTCTCATGCTCACTGAGCAGGCAGTTAATGGGGGTTCATGTGTAAGGGTAATTGAGGATGATCAGGAAGAAAGCTGGATTGCTGTAGATAGGGGGGGTGCTCACAGAAAAGTAAGACCGGTCCTGTGTTTGAGCACTCATATAAATTTGTTAGGACGAATGTGATGTGAGGGTGGCAAACCCAGAGTTGGCAGCCCTAGATGCCTTTGCTGACCTGAATAGCCCATCTAGTAGTGGTGGTGCCTGTAATGCTGGAAGGCCTAGACAGTTGTTGGTAATAGGGGATTCTATAGTCAGGAGGACTGACAAATTAATTTGTCATCTAGATCTCCTCAGCTGAATGATTTGCTGTCTCCCTGGTGCCAGGGTTTTGGAATGTGGTAGACTGAAGAGACACATTACTGGGAGGGGCTGGACATGAGCCAACTCTTTTGGTCCATGTTGGGACCAATGTCAGAATACACGAAGGATCCTTACGAATCAATTTAGAAAACTAGATTGCAAATTGATGGGAAGGACCTCCAAAGTTACACTCTATTGCCAAAAGTATTGGACATTAATGGCTGTGTGTTGAGTTATTTTGAGGGGACAGCAAATGTACACTGATATACAAGCTGTACATTCACTACTTTACATTGTAGCAAAGTGTAATTTCTTCTGTCTCGTCACATGAAATGATATACTAAAATATTTACAAAAATGTGAGGGGTGCACTCACTTCTGTGAGATACTGTATATACAGTATATATACACACTATATTGCCCAAAGTATTGGAATACCTGCCTTTACACGCACATACACTTTAATGGCATCCCAGTCTTAGTCCGTAGGGTTCAATATTGAGTTGGCCCACCCTTTGCAGCTATAACAGCTTGAACTCTTCTGGGAAGGCTGTCCACAAGGTTTAGGAGTGTGTCTATGGGAATGTTTGACCATTCTTCCAGAAGCACATTTGTGAGGTCAGGTACTGTTGTTGGACAAGAAGGCCTGGCTCGCAGTCTCCGCTCTAATTCATCCCAAAGGTGTTCTATTAGGTTGAGGTCAGGACTCTGTGCAGGCCAGTAAAGTTCCTCCACCCCAAACATGCTCATCCATGTCTTTATGGACCTTGCTTTGTGCACTGGTGCGCAGTCATGTTGGAACAGAAAAGGGCCATCTCCAATCTGTTCCCACAAAGTTGGGAGCATAAAATTGTCCAAAATGTCTTGTAATGCTGATGCCTTAAGAGTTCCCTTCACTGGAACTAAGGGGCCAAGCCCAACCCCTGAAAAACAACCCCACACAATAATCCCCCCTCCACCAAGCTGTACACTTGGCACAATGCAGTCAGGCAAGTACCGTTCTCCTGGCAACCGCCAAACCCAGACATGTCCATCGGATTGCCAGACAGAGAAGCGTGATTTGTCACTCCAGAGAACACGTCTCTACTTCTCTACAGTCCAGTGGCGGTGTGTCTTTACACCACTGCATCCGACACTTTGCATTGCACTTGGTGATGTAAGGTTTGGATGCAGCTACGCGGCCATGGAAACCCATTCCATGAAGCTCTCTACGCACTGTTGTTGTGCCAATCTGAAGGCCACACAAAGTTTGGAGGTCTGTAACTATTGACTCTGCAGACAGTTGGCAACTTCACTGTGCCTTTCAGCATCCGCTGACCCCGCTCTGTCATTTTACGTGGCCTACCACTTTATGGCTGAGTTGCTGTTGTTCCCAGCTGCTTCCACTTTGTTATAATACTACTAACAGTTGACCGAGGAATATTTAGTAAGATGGAAATTTAATGGATGGACTTATTGCACATGTGGCAACCTATCACGGTACCACGCTTGAATTCACTGAGCTCCTGAGAGCGACCCATTCTTTCACAAATGTTTGTAGAAGCAGTCTGCATGCTTAGGTGCTTGATTTTATACACCTGTGACCATGGAGGTGATTGGAACACCTGAATCCCATGATTTGGAAGGGTGTCCTAATACGTTTGCCAATATAGTGTATATTTTCTAGAATATTGCCTGTGCCATGCGCAGTACAGGAAAGATAGTGGGAGCTTAGAGCGCTAAATGCATGGCTAAGAGGGAAGGACTTGGGCACAGAGCTGACTTTTCATTGGAGTACAACCTATTTGTTAAACATGGTTTGTACCTAAATATGTGGGGGTCTGCTGTGTTATGGACGAGTTTTACAGCAGGTTTACAGGAAGGTTGGAGGTGTATATACACTAGGATTGAGTTGGGAGAGAGAGTTAGAATATAGCAGGGGCAATGAGTCAGAAAGGGGTCAGACACTAACCATGTTACAAACAAATATTGGCGATTACAGTACTATTTGTGTAAAATACAAAAATAGATTAATGTGTTTATACATGCAATAATGTGCCGAGCTGAAGAAACAATCAAAAATAAACAGTGAAATATACAACAATGATTATAAGGGCATTTTAAAAATATAATACAAAAAGGAACACTTTCATCATTTGAAAGTTACAAAGAATAAAACAAAATACTGTATGTAAAAAGGAAATCAAGAGAATTCAAAACAAACGACAGATTGCAAAAATGAGTAAGACAAATCCCCTTAATTCTTTAAATATATGAATTGTAAAAAAAAATCAGGTCTGAGCATGTAGGCCACTTACAAGTTGGTGATTGGGGACAAAGAGAAGGCAAATCTTTTAAATACCTCCTTCAGCTCTGTTTACACAAAGGAACACAGAGGAACTCAAGTCCATGATGGGGATAATATTGCCAAAGCCTCAAATGAAGCACAATGACTCAAAACTGGTATGGTCCAGAAACGGTTAGACAAATTAACGGTGAATAAAGCACCAAGATCAGATGGCTTACACCACCTGTGGTCAGAGTTGAGCTCTGTTATTGCAAAGCCATTATTTCTAATTTTTAGAGACTCTTTATGACTGACTTGGTGCCAATGGATTGACACAAAGCCAATGTGGTGCCTAGTCTGGAGACGGCAACCCGCAGATGCTGCAGTGCCGTCCGTCCGTTTTTTTACTACGGGCGGACGGCAAGAGGTTAAAAAGGGATCAAATTCTATACCACGTAATTACAGGCCTGTAACTTTAAAGCCCATTTCCACTTTGCGGAGGTATTTAAAAAAAAAAACATATGCCAGCAATGTACACTGTACACTGCTGTGTGCATGTAGTAGGCATATGCAGTTGCTGTATAAGAACACAGAAACTTACTTTTTTGTTAGCTGTTCTCTTCATCTCCTAATGGCTCCTTTTGAAATGGTCGACTCTGTGCTGTTCAGACAGTCTAGGTAAATTGAAGGCTGCTGTGCACAGTGGGAACTACAATGTAGAGCATGGAAAACTACAATTCCCACAATGCTATGCTGCCCTCATGCACAAGCTTCTCTGTGGAAACTGAGCTCTCTCTCTGAGTTCTCTCTCGCTTTATTAACCCCTTCATGACTCAGGCCTTTTTTTTCATTTTTTGTTTACATGTTATAATCCACATTTTAGGCCTGACAATTACTTAAAACCCCCAAACATTATATATTTTCTGAAAGCCAAGACCCTATAGAATAAAATGATGGCAGTTGCAAATGTTTAAGTTGCACGAATTTAGCTGGACTCCTTATCAAACCCCCAAATGTGGTGTAAAATGCACTTAAATGCCCCAAAAACACAATAAAATACTATTTTTTTTTACTTAAATATAAAACAGGAGGTTACAACGAGTAAATAGATACCCAACATGCCCAGGTTAAAAATTGTGTGCGTCTGTAAAACTGCAACAAAATTCAGTACCCCAAAAAGTCCATAGACGACGCTTTCAAAATCCCCACAGTTCATCAGTTTAGAGATTCGCATAAATATTGGCTCTAGGATTATTGCTCTCACTCCGGTGTGCACGGCGATACCCAACATGTATAGCGCGATCGTCGTTAGAATTGTACCCCAAGGTTCAGTGTTGGGACCTTTACTGTTTTAACTTAATTATAAATTATATAGATTTTGGGACCATCAACTCCTGTAGGGCCAATTAGGAGAAGGAATACGATCTGACCATGCTGCCACGACCTTGCTTATGTGGATAGCATGGTCAAGAAATAACTAGAAACCAATACTTCTTAAGGGAACTGGCAGGATCAGAAGTTGTAAATGAGAACAAGAATGGTGGATAAATTGTACAGTAGATAACTAGTTAGACAGAAGAAAGGGAATGCATATTCTGTTTCCTTTACAGGTGTTTCTTCTGAAAAAACAATGTAAAGGATTGCATTGCACTGTAAATATTATTGCGCTGCTAGTAAGGCTGCTAATGACTAATGCACTAGTATAGCTTTCTAAGAGAAGGGTTTCAGACTGGGTTATTCAGCAAGTCAGCACTTACATGAATACAAAGCAACACTGGTTCTTCTGTGTAGGCACAATTACATCACCCTGCTTATAAAAGAAGCATTGCAATAGAGAGCAAAGGCATTTGTAATTGAGCGCACAAGAGGGAAGAGCTTGAACAGGTCATTTTCTGAGTAGACAAGCAAAGCATGTGCAAAGCGTGGCAGGCCTAAAACACAACACAGTTGTACAGGTAAAATCTCTTCTATTGGTAACTAAGATGGCCCCCAGTACTGGATAATTACATTCCATTAAGCAGCTATAAGTCTATATACATGCTTGGGGTACCTTGTTATAAATTATAAGGGGTTCCAGTTTTTGTGTCCTTTGTTATGCCCATTTTCCTAGTACAGTTGCTGCCTTGTATCTGGTGACTTCGAGTCTCTGCCCTGTCTAATTCACATATATTTTATCTGGTCTCCACCAAGTTTGCAAGTTAGTACTTTGTCCTGTTTGTTTGTTTGAGATACTTGCATGTTGAGGTTACCTTTCCTTCCCAGATTCTGGTTGGCTCACTTTTCTGAGTAAAGTACCTCTGAGGAGGACCTGCTTTGGGTGGAAAGGGAGACGTGCAGTACATTACGTTTTGATGGCACGTGACTTGGAGATCGTAGCAGAATATTGTCCCATGGGACGAGTACTATGTAGTCGGTGACTCTACCGGATGAGATTTGGCTGCTGCATAGCCTATCTCTGATTTGGATCAGCTAAGTATCATTATAATCAGTGACTTACACAAGCACATAGGCACCAATTTGAACTTTTCATGGCGTTTTGATTGATGCACTGCTGCATTTATACATATACATGTATGTGACTGTGAAATGTGCTTCTACCCTGTCCCTGCATGGATGCATTGACACGGATTAGGACATAATCTCAAAATCTTTATGAAATACCTATAACTGTGTGTGGCTGTGGAATATACGCCTCTGCTCTGTTTCTATATGGATGCATTCATTTATGCATGATACTATATACCCTTTCAGTCTGTGTGGAATATTGAATAAGGGAGTAATAATAATAATAATAATGCATCTACCTTCTGTGAAATATAATAGTGTGGCACCAAGTTAGGTGCAAGGATATAGGAGGGTTCTTGAAAACTGGGAAGGAGAGATGAAACCTGTTTCACAGAAATAAGTTTGTATGCTTACATGCTGGAAGGATTTCTATATGATGCATAATGGGCTCGGAAATTGATGATGCTCTATTAGAGGAGTATGTGATCTGGGCTACGGTCACCTTATGCGGCTATATGTATAGAAGGTTTCAGTACATAAATTGGAACATTGCCAGAATCATGATTCATTTTTATATAAATATATTGAATCATGTGGACTGTGTTTACATTTATGTTAGTTACTGTGCAGGAGTAATTTCTTAGGATGTTTTCAATGTTCGTCTTTCTTTATGTGCGTTCACTAATTAAAGTTTATTGATATTTTTGAAATGTATGAGATTCTTGTTCAGGTAGCTCAACTAATTGAGGGCTTTCTTTGCTGTATATAAACGAGAAACGAGAGGGTATGTTGCTCTTTGAGTCCCATAGAAATATGAATACTGATAGGTGTATCAAGCCTGAAAGAGAACATACATTTTATTTTTATTTAGCACATTCTTATCTTCATATAACTTATTATTCCAGTATTTACCTTAAAGTATGTTTATGCATTGTTCATATCTTTACATGCTATCATATGTTTGTTATTGTTTTAAATATAGCGATTTGTAGATTATCCATAGATAATCCATAACTTCCATCAGGGAGTGGGCACTGTACTCATCACAGTCTTAACTGCCAGTTTCAGGATTACAGTTTTACATTATATGTCTCAGGATCCGCTGTCAATAAAATAGAGGAAGAGGGGCATGAATTGCAGTCCTGGTCTTGAACGCTGTGCCCCCTGGGTTATTTGATTTTTTTTAATAAAAACCTAGGCTAGAATGCAATATTGGAAACAACATGTGGTTGGTTTGATATTCAGTGCTACTTTCTTATTGTACAGAGCATCAAAACAAGAGAAAGGGCAGACATTTTCATGACCCCTACACCCCCTCCCCTCTACATTTGTCTTAAATTTAGCCACAAATGTCCAGAAGGAGGAAACAAAATAGGAAAAAGTAATCATTGTTTGTCACTGTTAAGGGCTTGGTGCTGCCCAAGTGCCATCATGGTAAATACAGTGCTGAAAACAACTTTACAGTTTTAAAGTGTAAATCTTTAAACAACTAATTGTTGGAGTTAGTAGACACAAGGCTGTCTTCTTTTTTATGACAATTACAAATGAATTAGGAACCAGTATGTCCTACTGTGACTGAATCCAGTGTATCGCTCACCCCTGAAGTAGCGAAAAAATCTTGCACCGGGGGCCCTTTGTTTCTTAGGTCTGCCACTAGGGGAGAGAGGTGAGGGCCACAGGATCAAGGATCGGGTGAGTATATCTTTTTTATTATCTCCCCTAAAGAAAAATAAGCAGTTAACCCTTTCAGTGCAGAGGTAGCCCCACTGCAAGGGTTAACTTTTCTGCTTCGGGGAGATCTTCTTTAAGACGTACTGAATTCTGGCCAACAATAATCCTTTAAAGATTATGCATATTCAATTTCTATTTATGCTGTTAGCATAATTCAAAGGTTATTTTAGTTTTTTGGCTCACTTATCTTTAATCCTTTTCTACTGATATTACTGTGTTATATTATAGCGCTCAGCTGTACCTTGTTTCATATAAATTTACACTACATGGTAATTATACCCAGTCTAGTATAAAGATGTGAACGTGGAAATTAAAGTAAAAGATCAGCCGTATTAAAAATGAACAATACCTATCTCGAGCAGTGGTGACTCTAGGAACAATATATAGGGGGGCACATAAGATACCACAGTCAAATCTGGGGGGGCACTAATAATTTTCATTGCATGTTGCTACCGCAGGGCGCCGAGAGCTGATTTAATTGCGGATGGCATCTGCGCTCTGCGGTTCCGACATGTAGTCCAACGCCGCCCACGCCCCTTTTTTACTTAACTTTATTTTTTTATTTCACTTTTTTTACATTTTTATTTATTTTACTTTATTTTTTTTACATATTTTTTACTTCTTATTAATTTAACTTTATTTTTGTAACTTTTTTTATCTTAGTTTATTTTATTTTTTGTAACTTTTCTTTTTTTTACTTCATTGCTGGGAGCAATAGCCAGCCTGCTATTGGATATTTCAAATTGCAATAGCCAATAACAGGCTGACTACTGCACCCACCCACTGCCTGCTGTCAATCAGCAGAGGAGGGACCCTCTCGTTTGCCCCCCTGTAGCGACGCCACTGCTCAAGAGTGTTCCTTTTCTTCCAAGAATTTTCTAAATAATGTTGTGTTTCTGCCAGGTTAAATATTGTTTTGTGACTATGTCTAAAGCTATGTATGCTTATGGAGCTAATGTTTTTTTTACTAGGGATGAGGTTCAGCTTTGGCTCTATCATGGGTTCAAGGTAATCCCTGTATGCTAGGGGAAATGTTTGCCAGGCCAAGTATTATGTAACCATAATGCACTGCACAGCCTTTGAACTTAGGTCAGCTGGCTTAGAATGGCCAATAATGGGGACTTTGTTATGTTATGTGCCAGCCCCCTTGTGGGAACGACTGAAGATGTGTACTTTCTCGGCAAATGGTTTGCAGTAGCCTGCTAATTCTGGAATAACCCTGAAGACTGAGGAGTCAGCGGAATTATTTCATAACACAATCAGTGTCTTGATGCAGGAGGAAGATCTTGGTCATGCACAAGTATTTCTTGTTTCAGATACTAAGAATGAGGAAGATGGCACCAGGACCACAGAGGGAGGGGACATCAGGAAGTGATGTTCCAGCAGCTGGAGCTTATTGCCAGTTGGCAATCAGACCATCTCTAGGGGCCACTGATTGGAAAGGAAGAGACTTCTGAAGGAGAAGCAGAACAGCAGCAGCAAGGGCCAATTCACAGGGCACTGCAGTGTGGCACGTTTTTAATATATTTGCTGCCAACAGCATCATTGTGGTTTGCAGCCTCTGCTTTCAGTGTACCAGCTGTAGTAAATGTACAAGCTGTTTGAATACAACATGCATGAGGAGAAACATGACTCTGCATCACAAAGCTTGCCCAAAAGGCTGGGCTGCACTGTTAGCACCTAAACCACATGATTGTTGACTACATAAGGTCCATGGCTAATGTAGACTCTTAGAAGTAAGGATCCCATGGACTATTGGGTGTCCATGCTGGACAACTGGCAGGTACTTGCCCAGTATATGCTGGAGTTTCTGGCTTTCCCTGCAGCCACAGGGCCTTCAGCACAACAGCATATTTTGTTATGGCAAGGCAAATCCGCCCGTCCCCTGACAGTGTAGATTCACTTTCATTAAAATGAACCAGTCTTGAGATCAGGATTCCTGCTGGTGATGCTACAGACTACCACTTTCTGTTGCATCTAGCCCCAAAAATGTCAACATTTTAAATGTTTGCTGCAGGAAAAAACCTGCAGTGCTCCAAGTTCTTCAGCACTGTAAAGGTGCCACAAATAGGTTTCCAAAATGTGTGGCTATTGTCTCTCAAATAATACACTCTAATGTTTGAAGATTAAACCTGCCTTGTCTCTCCGTCTTACATTGTGACTTTACCAAGTTGCACACATACTGCCAATATTTGTGGCTATTGTGTCTTAAATAGTACACTCTACCTATTATTTAAGATATAACTTCCCTTGTCTCTCCATTTAACATTGCAGCCTAAGCAAGCTGCTTACATACTGTCCAAAATATTTGTGAATATTTTCTCTCAACTAATACACTCTTGTGTTTATTCTAAGACAAAAGCTGCCTCATCTCTTCCTCTTACATTGCAGCCTTACACAGCTGCTTACAAGCCACTGTACAATATTTTTGGCTATTCTCTCAAATAATACACTTTAATGTTTAAGATAAAACCTGCAACCTCTCTACCACCTTTTAATGCACCCTAACCAAGCTTCCTACCTACTGTCCAGCCACTGAACAATATTTGTAGGTATTGTCTCTCACGTAATGCACTCTAATTTTTGTTGCAAAGTAAAACCTGCCTTGTCCTTCTGTTTGCTGCTTGTGTACTGTCCTGATGCTAGCCAGTTTCTACCAAACCCATACCTTATTTTACATTTTGTAAGGAATTTGGTAACTGGGGAAACAGCAATGGGAGAGGCTTAGAAAAATGTGGGGTTGTGGTTTTAATGTTTTTTGAAGTGTTTTTGACATTTTCAAGACACTGCAGTATAGTACTGTGGAAAAAGAACCTCACAAACTATCATATTAAACTGCTGAGTTACAGACCATAAAATTCAAGAGATTTATGTTTTACCCATGTGCAAATGCATAAGCATGGCACACAGAAGCCTGTCCCTACCATAAAGGGGCTAGTTGACTGTGTTTTCTCCCCAAGTCAATGGTACCTCCCCTGCCTCAGTTACAGATGCACAGTAGTGGAGATTAACTAGTACAATTACTACTGCAACATCTATTACAGATAGAAGGCTTTGTTTAGGTAAATAACCAGTCAGAATATGAAAGCATGTCATGAAAACACTTCTACTGGTTAAACTGATTCTCAGTAGGGAAACCAATCATTTTGTGTTGGGAGATGCAATGATTAAAAAGATTTTTCCTCCTACTCATCAACTGCAGATGGTATTAGCAGCAGCAAAAAAAATTCCGCAATTCCAAAACTTGCTGCCTAGCCCAATCCTAGAGTATGTACCTCCTGCTAACATTGTGTATCTCTGCTGCTGGTCTTACTAAATTCTGAAGAAGGGGACCCTGTGCGGTCCCGAAACATTCCTATGTGACATTTTGTGTCAATAGAGAATATGGATTGTTGACACAAGATACAGGTGTTGTGGTGAAGTTCTCTATATATCTGCTCAGATCTGTCCTTTGTGTTTGGCAGTTAGTTATTACCTTGCCCTGTTTGTCTGTATTGTATGAGGCACTTTGCATACTATCCTACTGTCTTTCATAGGAGAGACTGTCACTCATTTGGAACCACACCCCTCCATCCCCCTTTCCTCCTCCGTTGTCCTTTTTGGCCTGATTTACAGATATGAAAAGGTTCTATTTAACTACTAAAAGTGTAATTGTGCACTAAAACCTTTATCTTATCTCTTATCTCATCTTGTTTGCTGTTGAGAAAAGCAAGAATAAAGGAAAAGTAAAAGAAAAAACAATTCTGGATTTAACCAATCATTTTTTGGCATATAAATTCTTAGTGGCCCGCATAACTGACAGGGGTGCGTCCATTGCCAACATACAATGGAAGGTGTCCCTCTTTCTCATCAGAGAAAGTTGGGAGGTGTAACTGTGTGCCTTGTGCCAATCAGTATCGAGCCAGTCAAACAGCATGGAGTCGGCTTCCCGGGCAATCAAAAAGCTGGGTGGTGGGTAATAACACGCCGCCTGGCTTACTTATTGCCCAAGAAACCAGCTCCATGCTAGAGGAAGTACTGGTATCAGTACTCGGTATCGGCGAGTAGCAAAGATGAATATCGGTACTCGTACTCAATACCGAAAAACTGGTATTGGTGCATCCCTACTTTTAATACTGAGCTAATTTGTATATATACATGCACACCCTTTTATGTTTGTTTTAACAAACAGATTAGAATGTCAATGAAGCATGCATGTTTGCATGTCCTAAAGTTATAGTGATACCAAGTATGCTTTTAATACTGAGCTGATTTGTGTATATATACATGCACACCCTTTTTTGTTTATTTTAACAAGCAGATTAGAATTTCAATGAAGCATACTTTAAAACATTCACTAATCTTTGGCCTGGGGTTTCTTTGTAACCACTGTCTGAAGCATGCACGCAAATTTCACTGTAGAAGCTTAGTGGCTGGAGTTTTACAGACTGATTTTAAATGTTTATTTTTTTTATGAATTCATATTTTTTAGGAAGAGCATGATGGACGTAACAATCAAATCAGCAGATCCTGCAAATGATAAAGGTATTCTTTATAAGATACTGTGAATGGAACTTTAGCCTTGAAAAGAATTGAAAAGAATGGTGAATGGTAAAAAAACAAAAAAACATTGGAGATATTTTCTTTTCATCTCAACACACAACAGGAAGTGGTAAGAGATCTCTTAAAAGTAAGGGAAATCTTAGACAGTTGTCACCAGAACAGCTGTCACCATTGAAAGATTTTCCCTAATACAGTATTTCTGTTCCATTGACGACTCAAAATCTCACTTTCAGTCTCATTGACAATAGGAAGAATAGAAATGGTAGACCCTTCCTACAAGGACACAAACAGCAGTAAAAACCTGACAGAAGTTTTAACCCCACATCACTGTAACCAAAATTAAAATATAAATTTTTGTCTCCCACCATACATACATCTCACATACATCTTCATATCTCCTGGTGCCTCTTGAACCACTGCGGGCAACCATGCCATACTCCTGCCTGCTAAAACCCTGTCAGCCAACTCTAGAATGTATTGGAAAGGAGGCGTTAGGAAAGCCCTTTTGTCAACTCAGCCTCTACCAGGTAGGCCTCTACCAGGTATGCGACACTTTGCGTTAGAGACCCCATAGTGGTCCCTCCCTTTCATGCCCGGAATCCTGGGGTTCATGCAGCAGGAATTTGAGCATAATAGACCTGATTTGCCACAAATTGGAAGCTGAGTCCTCGTTTACACAAAGGACAACATTTTCTTCATCACCACCCACATACAGCTCCCGGCATTTGGGAGGGGTGAGACGTCCCCCTTATAGTTTGACCCATTTTCTCACTGCCAGAAGCCCAGCCTTCCTCCTTGTAGTCCTCCTTTGCTTCCTGCTGCCTCTGGAGGGAGGCGATGGAGGCATTAGGCAAGGAATCTTCCTGGTCCTGAGACAGCAGCAAGTCCCCCTCTTCTTCCTGCTGCTGTGCCTCCAGTTCATGGTCCATCAGGCCTTGGAGTATGTGCTGTAGGAGAAAAGTGAGAGGAATCACCTCAATAATCCCCACCTCAGCACAGCAACCATCCTGGCCGACTCTTCAAAAGGTGCCAAAATGCAGCACACATCCTTAATAATGAGCCATTGCATGGTGAAAAGAACACCAGCTCCCCAGAATTTATTTTCATATGGTAATTGCACAGATACTCATTGACAGCATGCTGCTGGTATAGCCTCTCCAGCATGCTCATTGTTGAATTCCAGCATGTGGAAAAGTCACAGATCAGGCAGACAGCGTGTGTTGGTGCTGCATTTTTGCTAGGTGAACACTGGCCAGGAATGACCAACTAAGTGGCCACAATTCCTTCTGTCTTGACGAAGGATCTTCTAGAAGACAGGGTACCTAAAAAGAAACCGCTGCACAGCATCATTGGTTGCTAGGACACACACAGTATCATCACATTAGCAAATTGATTAACAAGTTTACTTTGGACACTTATGGGTCTATTTACAAAACTTCTGCCCAGTGTAAAGTTGGGTGGATGTCATTTGCATGGCGGTAGTGCCCCTAGATGCCGCTGAGGAGTATAGGAACAGGTTTATCATAAATAAACCTTTAAAGCACAAATCATTATATCCTCAACAATACTGCCCAGACTGCAGTCTTTGTTAAGACTTTGTTAATATCAGCACATGTTAGTGCACCTTAAAGTGACATTAAAGGATAATTTTTTTCACCCTCCCCCAATGTTAATGTTAGCACTTACCTTAAATGATGTCACCTAAGCCGATCTTCTTTCCTGATGTTTTCATCTGTCCCTCCAGCAGTGTGGCGGCTCTCCGTTTCAGCGCTGACTCCTCTCTGCTTGCAGGCACTTCCGATCCAGCGGTGTCTGCGGGTGCACGCGTCCGTAGACTTACCTTGCGTCTCTGCTCGTCTCCCGGCCGAGAATCCGAACTACGCATGCGCCCGCCCCAACATGCTTTGCGGCCGCCGGAGCAGTTTCATTTTCTCGGACGGGATCGTGCAGCGAAAACAAGGTAAGTTTAAACTGCTGTTTTAAAGCGTTTTTTTTAAACTTTTTGCCTATATCTACAGCTTGATAGCAGTAGATATAGGCAAAAAAACAACGGAGGCTTTAGAACCCCTTTAAGTAGCAGAAATTGCTGATATTACTGTAGATTCATCCATTCACAGCAAGCAACAGCATTTTTGTTCCAGTTCATGAGTTAAGGCTGCTGCCATTTTGAGGAATGTTTTTCTATTTCCTGTGTGTTGTAATTGGATGAGGCCCACAGCCTTGTCTTCCTGGGCATGCAATTACTCTAGTGTCTCTTGGTAATTTAGTGATAGCACAGGAGGGCAAAGAAGGGGAAGAGAAGCAACAACAATGAAGAAAAATATAACATTTCAAGGAAGAGTAGAGAGGAGGAGAGCAAAAAGAGAAGGGTGTTGCAGGAGCCCGGGAAGTATAAATATGAACAAGTGATTGTATGCAAAGAAGAAGTACAGTATTTAGGAGGAGAGTAGAGATGGAGATGGAGCATGCAAAGAGATGGCTACACCCTCCTCCTTGTCGCAAATGATCCTTGCCTGACACTGAACGTGGCAGCTTTTTTGAAGCTTTCCCCTGCTCCTCATAAGAAGAAAGCAGTGGACTCACAGCAGGGAGATTTACAACACCTCCAACCACCAAAAACACTTGTTCTTGCCATCAAGGTAGCCAGAAATGGTCTAATAATGTCAGGAGCACCCCATGTAATCATTCTACTTCTGCCCTTAGCTTTTCATTGACAATATGGATATCCTCTGTATATAAATAACAAACCTCATATGCATACTGTTTATATTTTTTGTAAAATTATTTTTAGATTACACTTGGAAAGTTAAAGCCAATGACAGAAGTTACCAGCAGAAAATCAGAAAGACAGGATTCCTTGGTTTTCAGAAGGACAAGCATTTGGTAATTTCCATTTTATTCACTTTCTAAAAAGCATTTTTCCTCTTATTCTTTTGGATACCTTTTATATGCTGCTGTGGTTGTTTAAAAATGGTATCACATAGGGTTAATTTACAAAGGTATAAAACTCAGATGTCTGTTGAGGAGCACTTAAAAGGAATAAGTTTGAGGTGAGATAAAATAATGAATCAACATGACATCATGTCATTATTATTTTTTTACAGAATAAATATTTTTTTATTTTCAACATCAGCAAAGAAAAAAGAACAAACAGTAAGAAAAACAGTGAAAGGGACAATCATACATATCAGAAACATTTATGTGCTGTTAAGGAAGTCCTACAGGAATAGATTATAGCTTATTGTAATTAGAGGTTGTCAATGGTGGAGAGTTTCCGTTGACTTCCAGGTGCCAACTCGTACAAATCTGGAGTGTATAGATAAACACCGTAGTGTAATGCAGATAGGAGAAGGGGAAAATAATGAAAAGACAGAAAGCAGGTAAGAGGAAGGCTGCTGAGTGGGGCAGGTGCGTCCCCAGGCTACATAACTAACCAAAACCACAATCGTACATTTGATAATCAATCCAAGAATAGTATAAGGTCGGGCAAATCCAAAAACGCTATCCAAACGCTCCAGGTTTCCACAAAAGTTGAATTGCGATCCTGAAACTGAGCCACCAGCTCCTCCAGGCGCATCAGTCGATTGACCTCTGAAACAAATTCCTTTACTGAGCGGGCCACCGACGTCCTCCAATGCCTGGCCACCAGCGCCCTACCTGCTAGGAGCATAAATCGCAATAGGCCTTTTCAATAAATGGGAGTGAGTCTGGGAGAAGTGATAGTAACACCAACTCAGGTAATGGGCAAAGGAAGGAACCAGTCACTCGGATATAGATTAGGAAAAATAACATCCCAGAAGGGACGAATTTTAGAACAACACAGCAAGGGTCGAGGGCAAAGAGGTTATGTAAAACTGCAGGGCAGTAGTTTATAGTTCAATTCCTGTAAGGATGTTGACATGGGGTGCGTCCCAGCTCCCTTTCCCAAGCTCAGGGCCGGTGCTAGGATTCGTGCCTACACAGGCAAGGTACATTTGTAAAAACAGGGCATTTTGACAAGTACTTGTACTTGTCAAAATGCCCCGATGTTTGCGCTATGTTTTTTGTTTTTTTTCCCACTTACCTTCGGTGTGGGAGAGCAGCGGCGAGTCAGCGCTGGTCCGGTGGGAGGAGCTAATTTAGCTGGCCGGCGACTGCCTGAGGTGCCGCGCGTGTCGGGATCCTCAGGCAGTCGCCGGCCAGCTAAATTAGGACCCCCACCTGGAGCTCCTCCCACTGGACCAGCGCTGACTCGCCGCTGCTCTCCCACACCGAAGGTAAGTGGGAAAAAAAAAAACATAGCGCAAACATCGGGGCATTTTGACAAGTACCCTGTTGCCTCAAAATGCCCTGTTTTTTCCGCCCTCACCCTGCAGCGCCGTAAGGTGGCCGCCTGACTTGCCTTGCGGTAGCGCCGGGCCTGCCCAAGCTTCTATATAAAAGGGGCGATGAGGGAACGCATGACTCAGCAAAATGCGATAAATCCAAGAGATGACATGCACATTGTCTCGAACAGTGTAAGGTCTCTTTAAAGAGATGCCTGCATACGTAGGTGAGTATAGAAGTTCCTAAGTTTGAAATAATGTAGCCATGAGCCCGGGTAAGAGCCCTGGAAGGGGAGCAGCGCCAGATAAGGATCGTAGGCCTGTTCCAGAAATTGCAGGCCCAATAGATGAAGGTTCCCCCCTTGTCCAGTGAAGGAAGGTGAATTAACTCACTTGCCTGTTATGTTGTTACCCTACTACATTCCTTCAGGCACCAGAGTAACCCACAGAGAGAAATTATAGGTAGTATTGATTCAGACAAGAATGCCATGTCAGAGCTTATGACCCCACAGCAGGTCTTCTTTAAGCTTGAAGTTTAAGCAGCTTTATTTATATTTATTACCTTATTGCTTCAACTTAAAGTAGGTCTAAACTCAATCACTTAAATCTTACAGTATATAAGCTTCAGCATGTTCTCACTTTTTACATAGTATATAAGCTTCAACATGTTATCACATTCTAATTTAAAAAATTACTTGTAATTTCTTTGTATATACAGCTTTAATTATTGTTTTATAATTAAAAGAATACTTTGTGATCCTGCTTTCAGGTCGTTATTCAGGAATGTCCTGTTATGAGATGAAAATTGTCTCCCAATTGTGCTCCTGCATTGTCACCCTGTCTCGTGTGCCCCATGTTGTGAATAAAAGTGGCACACATAGAACAAACATGGCCCCTGTGTGCAAAATTGTTGAGAGCAAAGATGTGTAGCCAAATAGGATAAAAGTAGATAATGCAGTGAGGGAAATTTATCAAAACTGCAGCAGAAAAAATCTGGAGCAGTTGCCCAGGGCAACCAATTAGCTTCTCTCTCCAGTCTGGCCAGTTAAGATTTGAAAATGAAAGAGAGAAGCTGATTGGTTGCCTTGCACAGCTGCACCAGATTTTGTCTGCTCCAGTTTTGATAAATTCTCCTCTTTGTATTATAGGTAAGAAATAAAAATCCACAGTATATTGAATAGCCCAAACAGCAGGCCTTTGGTTAGACTGAACCGAAGGGCTCCGGCGGCCAAAGAGAGCTGAAGGATCAGCCGAAGCTACTTCGGCTCCTACGTGAATAACCCCCTAAATGTTTGGGTTTGATACAGAGTTGGGCCAATATCGTGTAACATAAAAATTTTCAACTGCCACCATTTTATTCTACAGGGTATTGGCTTTCAGAAAATATATAATGTTTTGGGGGTTTGAAGTCATTTTCAGACCTAAAATGTGGATTATATCATGTGTTCACAAAAAAAAAAGGCCTTGGCAGTAGGGTTGCCACCTTCTCTTCAAGTGAAACCCGAACACTCTAGCGCTGCGCGTGGCAATGTTTTTCTTTTTTTGAGAATATAGGGGAGAGAGCAAGGAGAGACAGCCAGGGGAGGGAGTAAGGAGATCAGCTATAGAGGACTACAAATCCCAGAATACATTATACAGCAATACAAAATAATAAGTAGCTACATACTCTGTGTTTTTCTGGGTTCGGGCCCTGATGTCCCCAGCTGGCCTGTGCGGGCTCTTAAGTGGGCTGTGCGACTCAGGTGGGCTGTGCGACTCTCAGGTGGGCTGTGCGACTCTCAGGTGGGCTGTGCGACTCTCAGGTGGGCTGTGCGACTTTCATGTCTGTCTGGACTATGGTATCTCACCAGGGGTCTGCAGGTGGCCAGCACAGTGCCAGGGAGCTGGAGGAGAAGGAAGAGGAGGAGCAATCGCAGATGCGGCTCCCCAAGGTCCTCGACAGGCACGATCTCGGGCGGCCACATCTGCCTGAAACCTGGATCTTCCTCTGAGCTGTGGGCACCTGTAAACAAGCACAGGCTGCTCGCAGCTCAGAGGAAGATCCAGTTTCAGGCAGATGTGGCCGCCCGAGATTGCGATTGCTGAGGATGTCGGGAGCCGCATCTGTCAGAAAATGTAAAGTGCCGGTGTCGGCACGAAGTGTCTTTTGACCAGGTGCCTGCTGGCTGTACATCTGGACACAAGATTCCAAAGCCGGATTGTCCGGGTGAAAATCGGACAGATGGCTGCCCTACATGGCAGCGAAAGGGTCATTAAGGGGTTAAACAGAGCCACACAACTTAGTACACACTAGAGTTTGCTGACGTATTAACTAGACATGTGGTCTGGTAATGAATTGGGGGTTAAGTCAGAACTAGAATTCTCCAATCAGTAGGGAGCATGAGCTTTACATATTGCAGAGCGTTAGTCCTGGTCTCTCAGCAGGGGATGTGTTGGACATCTGTGAGAGACCACTAACTCCACACAGAGGGCAAGGGACTTTCTCTGCAGCATGCAGGCATTTCTACTTGGGGTATAGCTGCTTTTTTTAAAAACTGTAAGACTTTGTATACCTTTTGCTTTGATGCTTCTGAAATGTACTTAGCTTATTTAAACAGAAAGTTTAGTTGCGCTTTAATGGTGCTAGTATATGTAATATTTGGGTTTATTGATGCCTGGGAAATGTTATAACAACACGGCTAGGATTTCTGTGCTGCCTATGAAAAGCATGCTCTTTGTGTCACTACATGGCCAGTTACTACATTGGTCAGTAAAAAGTTCAGGTAACCTTTACAGCTATTCTGTAAAATCTTACATGGTATACAATCTTATCAAAGAATCCTATCAAATGTAGCCATTGCTTCATTGCTGTCTGAAACATGCTCCTCTATATTGCTAATGGTGTAGCTGAACTGTACACAGTTTCTTTATTGTTAAAACATTTTTTAAGGGTTTAAACTGGCCTTGAGTCTTTTAGAATTATAATATATAATTTACATTAGTCAACTCAAAGATCCAAAATTTAAAGGAATGAAGTTGCCCCGTTTTCCTTTTGGGGGAAAGTATTTAAAATTTATAATTAACTGGGCCATTGATTATGTCCAGGATTTTCCAAAAATAGCTTTCCTATCTATGCTTCCAGGCCTCCTTTTTAGTACAAAATAGTTATTTTACAACACTGTGTAATGGCTGCTAATGTGGCAATTTCTCGCCACTAAAAAGAAGGTATTACCCCCTCATTACACTCGCAGTTGAATGACCATGAGTGGAATATTTCAAAACTGGTGCAGACAGAATGTGGAGCAGTTGCTCATGGTGACCAATCAGTTTCTTTCTTTTATTTGCACACCTTAACTGAACAAACTGGTTGATTGGTTGCATATATGAATGGATCCAAGCATGGATGGATGTAATGTGTTTTTGTCTGTTTTTTGTTCAATAGTGGCGGATATGTTGTTGTTTGAAACATATAATAATATATTAAACCCAAACTTTAACCAGTTGACATCCGCAGTGTTAAACCCCCTTCCCATCCAGGCCATTTTTCAGTATTCAGCGCTGCGGTACTTTAACTGACATTAACCCGCCGATCGCCTATAT